CGCTTAACCAACTGAGCCACCCAGGCGCCCCTGGAACAGTCTTTTAAAGGCACAGCTAAAGTGCCAGCTTTGTGATAACCCTCTAAAAGGATAGGAAATATATAGAGAAAATTTTGGTGCTAGGTCCCCAATGGGAAGAATACACAGGTCTGGGAACCAAGGGGTGCAAGCAGGAGTAACTCCATTTACCAATTACTCACAATGACCCAATAGGGGATTTTGTATTTTCTGTTCCTGCAGCTCTGAGCTTTGCAAAGTTGGAGGTCCTGATTCCCTAAGAAGGTGTAATTCTTGCTAGGGGATGCTGCAAAACTCCCACTGAACTATAAGCTATGGCTGCCATGAGGACAATTTTGGATTCCTTGTATCCAGGGACCAGCCTGAGAGAAGAGGTGTCACCAATATTGGCAAAGGTAGTTGACCCTGATCAGCAGGAAAAGGTAAGGCTGCTTTTATACAATAGGGACAGGGAGGGAATATGTGTGGAATCTATGTGATGCAGTTGGGTGTCTCCTGGTATTCCCTTGTCCCATTGAATGGACACATGCAGCAACTCCAGCCTGAGAAGGGTGTGATTACTAACTGTATGATTACCAGACCCTTCAGGAATGAAGGCTCAGGTCACACCGCCAGGTAGGCCACCAAGACCAGCCAAGGTGACAGATGACAGTGAGGAGAATTTAGAATGGAGAAGGCAGAGTATGAGTATCAGTTGCAGGCCTGAAATCAACAGCAGTGATGAGGGCTGTAATTCATTCCACTAAACCTGGCCCTTCCTCAAGAAGAAAGGCCCCTGGGAACCAAGGTGGAACTGCTCCACAATCCCCTGTAGAGAGGGAGATGTGTACAACTATGAGAATGTGCCTCTCAGATCTCCTACTGTGGGGGGCATAATTGACTGATGTCCCCAACTGCTATATTCTAAATACAACACTGCATTTGCTCTGAGGCTGTTTCCTGCGGTCTCTTTTAGCCAGTGAGGTGCACAGCAGGGATATTGCAGCAGGCCCATTCCTGTGAGACAGAGGACTCCTCTGGCTGATGGTTTTGGCCCGAGAAAATTTCTGAAAGCTTCATGGCAGTCTAAGGCTCTTCCTATCCTACCCTCTTTCCGTTTCTCCTTCCTATGGGTCAGATGTGTATCATTGTCTGACAGATCTCATCCTGCCCCAGCTCCCTCTCCATTTTCTTTCGTAAGCATTCCCACCAATTTCTTGCAAGTCTGATCTGATCTTGGTGTTTACTTCTTGGAGGTCCTGAATGAACACAGGTAGGTATAAATTTACCCATTGTATAGATGAAGAAACTATGCTTCAGAGAAGTTAAGTAACCTGCACAAAGTTATACAGCCACTTAGTGGCAGAGCAATGATTTAAATCCAAGATTATCTGACTTCAAAGCCTGTGTGCCTAAATTTCATATTCCTGTTTTCCTGCCTCTGCCCTTTCTGTTTGCTTCATTCTCCCTTAGTCTCCTGGAAAGGCTTTTGAATATTCCAGTCTGTCTCTACCTTGCAAAGGTAGGAGGAGTTTTTGACTACACTTGTACCAGAATGTGAAAGGAAGAACATTTGTATTCCTGGGGTCTGTGACAGTTCTTGAAGTTAAAGAGTCTCCCTGGGGAAAGAGAATCTCAGAAAACACAGTTGGAGCAGCTTTGCTGAGCTTGCCCTTTGCTGCCTGGAAAGTCTCCTTGGAGAGTTAAATTATGAAAGAGTTAAATTTTGTTTTATAAGAGAAACCATATGCCTTTATACTTGTTATCTTATTAGAACATGTCTCTCCACACAAAATCATCTATTATTTTATAAGGTTTCCTCTTTTTTATTAAATAAAACACAAAATTTTAATGGTTAACACTGAAATGAAAACCAAGGGCTATCTGGATTTTGTGGCCCAGGTGCTGTGCCTATGGAATTCATTCACCTTTTCCTGATCCGTTTCTCTGTTCTCCTTCCTAGCAAAACTCTTACCTGCCTCCACTGCCTGTCTTCCCATTCTTTGTTGAACTCCCACATCATTTCCTACCGTTCCAAAGAGAATGTTCTTGTGAAGGTCCCTGGTGGCCTTTAGGTTATGAAGTTCAACTTTCATTTTCTCAGTTCATTTTGCTTGTCCTCCAGGCAATATTAACATACTTGATCACTCCCTCTTACCTTAAAAATGGTCTTTGTCTTCACCTATCTTTGGAGACCCACATTTCCCTGGTTTTCTGCCATATCATGAACTGCTCTTTCTCAAAATATAAATTTTTTTAGAGAGGGGGAGTGAGGGTGGGAGGAGCAGAGGGAGAGGCAAAGAGAGAATCTTTTTTTAAAAATTCAATTTAATTAACATATAGCATATTATTAGTGTCAGAGGTAATTTAGTGATTTATTAGTTGCATATAACACCCAGTGCTCATTACATCAAGTGCCCTCCTAAATGCCCATCACCCAGTTATCCCATCCCCCCCACCACCTCCCCTCCAGCAACCCTCAGTTTTTTTTCCTAGAGTTAAGAGTCTCTTATAGTTTGTTTCCCTCTCTGTTTTTGTCTTATTTTTCCTTCCCTTCCCCAAGTTCATTTGTTTGGTTTCTTAAATTCCATATATGAGTGAAATCATATATTTGTCTTCCTCTGACTGACTTATTTCACTTAGCATAATACCCTCTAGTTCCATCGATGTTGCAGATGGCAAGATTTCATTCTTTTTAATGGCTGAGTAATATTCCTGTGTGTGTGTGTACACCACATCTTCTTTATCCATTCATCCGTCAATGGACATCTGGGCTCTTTCCATATTTTGGCTATTGTGGACATTGCTGCTATAATCACTTCAAATCACTGTGTTTGTATCCTTTGGATAAATACCTGATAGTGCAATTGCTGGGTCATAGGGTAGCTCTATTTTTAACTTTTTGAGGAACTTCCATACTGTCTTCCAGACAATATGTCTGTCTTCCAAACTGCTGACCAGTTTGCATTCCCACCAACAGTGTAAGAGGGTTCCCCTTTCTCCACATCCTTGCCAACTTCTGTTGTTTCCTGAGTTGTTAATTTTAGCCATTCTGACCAGTGTGAAATGGTATCTCATTGTGGTTTTGATTTGTATTTCCCTGATGCTGAGTGATGTTGAGTATTTTTCCAAGTGTCTATTGGCCATTTGTATGTCTGGGAAAGAGAATCTTAAGGAGGTTCCACGCCCAGCACAGAGCCTGACATGGGGCTCAATCTCACGACCCTGAGATCATGACCTGAGCTGAAATCAAGAGGTGGATGCTTAACTGACTGAGCCACCCAGGCACCCCTCATATTTCTTATTTATTGGAGTGCTCTAGAACTCAGGCCTCACCCTATCAGGGGTTGGCAAACTACTTCTATATTGGGCCAGATACTAAATATTTTTTGTTTTGTGGCCATATGTCCTCTGTTACTACTACTCAAGAAGCCCATTATCTGTGGTTTCCATTACTCGCAGTCTGGAAGCAGATGATCCTCCTGATGCAGCATCAGAATGTCAATAGTAGCTTAACAGTATGTCACAATGCTTATGTCATTTATCTCATTTCATCTCATCATGTAGGCATTTTATCATCTCCCATCATTACGAGAAGAAGAAGGGAAAATACATTACAATAAAATATTTTGAGAGAGATCACATTCATAAACCTTTTATTACAGTATATTTTTACAATTATTCTATTTTATTATTAGTTATTTTTGTTGATCTCTTAGTGTGCCTGATTTTTATTTTTAAATATTAAAAAAAATTTTTTTTAAGATTTTATTTATTTATTTGACAGAGACACAGTAAGAGAGGGAACACAAGCAGGGAGATGAGAGA